TTAACTAAAATGCACAGGTCCAAGATTTCTTAATCATCCTGACAATAACTTGTTTAGCTTTTTTCTCCACATTTGATCTCTTTACCCAAAGACTTGGAAATGTACAGATAACAGTTTTTGCTTTTCTTGCCAACAGCTCACTTGCATGTACAACTACATCAGAGGAGACACAGACATCACCAGTTTTAGCCTGTATCCCCCAGATGTGCTTCTATACTATGAGTAAGAATCTTTCAAGCTTGTTTATGTAGCATTTCAGGCAGTTCCTGCTTCAGTGATAACATCTCTTTGTTTCTCTGCACAGCTACTCTCTAGTGCCACAGGCCAGCTGCAGATCCTATTTTGAACAGCTGGCTGATGCAGATTTCTCAGTGTTTTCCACTGTCCTCAGCTACAAAAGGACTGCGCTGTTCGACAATGCCAGGAGCTGCCTGGTGAGACCCGAAACACCCAACCACACTACATCTGACATGTGTTGTTTCTAATGTTTAATCCTGGAATATATTCCAAAAGTCTTTCTTTTTGCAAAAATTGAATCCCCAAGATCCTTTCTGTTTTCAGTAAAATGGCACAAGTAGAAACGTTCCCTTGAAAATGATATCTTTTACAATATAAGATTTCAGTAACAGCACTTTTCAAATATTCCATCTAATACAATAGAAGGGTTGTTCTAGTTATACTACTTTCTTGTTAGCAGAAATCAGGTTTAAAATCATGATGCGATAACTGCTGGTGTGCAATTCAGTATGAGATGCATAGCTTTAAATGTATTCATTGCAAATGGAAATGTAGCTGTCCTCTTTAAATGCTGTATACCGCTTATTAATTTCACTTGTTGACATTTTTTCAGGGTATAACTACCACAAATCTGACTGAAGATAATATATCAGTTTTGGGAAATATGTGCTGCATGCTGGAAGGGTCCTACATCCAGAACTCTGATCCATCCGTCTTGGAAAAACTGAAGAGCTGCCCAGATCTCACTACAGATCAAGCATCTGCTGTTGAAACTCTTCTGACATCTGGGAAAACAAAATATGGGTATGTTAGCTCGATATGTGTGTGAAAGGCTCTTTACCCAGACATGCATTTTGAACAAAAAGTTTTAAAATGACCAACTTTCTGTTTTTGGATGTCCAGAGCTCCTTCCACATGGAATGATCAAACTCTGAGGGACCTTGACATGTTACCTCTGTATTTGACTTCATCGTTCTATGAAAACTTTGACAAGGTGAGTAACTCATGCAAACATGCTTACTGCGGTAAAGAGTCTTGAAGCTGGAGGATTTGTGATTTCTTTTCTTATTTTTATCCATTTGCAGAAAACTAAGCGCGCTTTCTTGAGGGATTTCTTGAAAGTTCTCAGGAGAAGCAATGTAGAGCGGAAGAAGAAACGGAGGATGAAAAGAGAAATCAGAAAGTCCAATAGAAAAAGGACTAAACGATCATCAGGTCAGTCCTCCTCTTTTAAAGCTTCTGTACTGTATTTGTTTAAACTCACTGTTTAAAACTGTTTTCCCTCATGCTTCAGTCACTGAGTGCACCGTGGGAACGATCACCGCGGTGACCATCAGCGATGAGACTTTCCCCTTCGACTATGACGACATCAACCAATTTAACTGCTGTCTCAGTGCCAAGACCGTGACGGACAACTTGGATGCCATCACAGAAAAGTTGGATGAGGAAGAATACCTTAAGATTGTTCTCAGCAAGCTGCAAGAGGTATGTAGAAGAAAAAACATGTAGTTGAGACTGCTGTGAAGTAGCTTTTAGAAAATCAGCAGCAAAAGACTTGAAGGCAAAAACTAGGAAAAATCAAAGCGAGTCCATGGCTGAAAAATTAAACCCTGCTCACACCCAAAGGGTCAGTTTTTGGTCAGAGGCGTGAGCTGCCAAACAACGTGAGAACAGACGGTGACCGACTTTAATCCTCCTTTTCTTTCTTAGGCTTACAACTCCACCATCCCAGAGGATCAGGTTCGGCTTCTGGGCGTAGCATCTCGAGTTGCTACCGTTGCGGACATAAACACGTGGAGAATCGCTCACATCGACACACTCGCTGCTTTGATGGACTCGTCAGACGGGGAGTGGGACCCAAGCTTGGTAGGCAAATGCATTTCAAAATGTAACGTCATTCAGGATGTACTTTGTAGGCCTCCGCGTTCCCCGTCAACACAGTTTCTCACTCATTCAGGCGAAAGCTGTCATCACAAAGTATCTGAGCGTGGAGGGGAACAAACTCGGCAGTGCAGAGCTCAACACCATTGGAGGACCGAACCTGTGCTCCCTGGATGCTGATGTTCTCAGGAACATTTCTCAACAAAGCCTCAAGTAAGACACCAGGGCCATAACTGAGTTTGTGAGACTGTCGTGTCCAAATAAAGAAATTTAGGCGAGGGTTGATTAAGAGATGCCATTAATCCTTCCATGGAACACAGTGTTGATGCAAAAAAAAAAGGAATGTTTGTTTGTAATGTGAATAATTGTCTTCTTTTTAATTAACTGCACTTTTTGTTTGTGTTTCCTGTAGAGAGGCTGATGCTTTGGATGTGTCCAACTGCACCACAGACAAACAGAAAGAACTCTTTAGTATTGCCAATCAGGCATTTACCAGTGTGACCCGCTCAACCATCTCTGTTCCCTCTTACCAACTCCTGCGAACATATATAGGTCAACAAAGACCCACACCTCACATTTAAATATAGCTAGAGGAAACTAAGTGATTATTCATTCTTTATTTTGATCTTTTATCTGATATCTTGCAGGTGGTGCAACACTTGACTATGTCCGAAATTTGGCAACTTCTAATGTCAGCATGGACCTGGCCACCTTCTCCAGTATGGCCGAAAATGTTGTACTGGTCAGTAATAAGTGCTTCTTATAGTTTATGTGTTTCTTGTAAGTCTTTAACAGCATTACGACTGGCAGAAATTGAGTCAGCTGCCACATGCTCTGTTAAAACTTCTTCTTTTGTATTTGCATGATCATAAAATGGCCCTGCTCTTCTGTCTGTAGAACCTGACGGTCGATGAGGTTAAAGGTCTTCTTGGCACCAACCTGCCAGATCTTAAGTCGTATGAAAACCAAACGCTAGTACAGAACTGGATCAGCGGGCAGTACCAATCACAACTGGACACGCTGGGATTGGACCTACGGGGCGGCAGGGCTGACCCGGCAGTTAGCACGGTCTCAGCAAGCAACTCCACCCTCAACGCTACAACCCCTTCCTCAGGCTCCAGCTCCCAGCCTGCCATCTCGTCAAGCTCAGCTCCGGTTACGGCTTCTGTATCCACTGCGGGGGCTGGATCTGGGAGTTCCACCATGGGGGCTGGATCTGGGAGTTCCACCA